GACCGGGACACCATCAAAACATGACCGGGACACCATCAAAACAGGACCGGGACACCATCACAACATGATTGGGTCACAATCAAAACATGATCGGGACACCATCAAAACATGACCGGGACACCAGCATCACATGACCCGGACGCCATCAAAACATGACCGGGACACCATCCGCCCACCAGCTCTGACGGTGACCCGACGGCGCCCGTCCGCCTATTAGTTTTGCAAGACCCCATAGCATGGCTATTGGGGAAATAGCTATATAACATAACGGTATAGTGCTATCATAGTATCATAGTTACAGCTTATACTTCTGAAAACTATGATACGATGTGCATATCGGAAGAGTCACTCCTCCCCACATGTACACGAGACTGGTAAAATACCATGTAGGTTTGGGGCTTGTGTCCCATGTCCATCCTCAAGGTTATGATCATCTCACTCTCTCAAAACTTCAATGAGGTTGTGGACGGGGATCTCCACCACTTCAAAACTCAAACGAAACTCAAACGAACAGGTAACTGGTCATGACATCCCAACGAGAGGGAGGTCGACTGATGAACCGCTGGAAGCAGGGGTACCAAAGGAAGAAAATCAGGCAAACCAACCTTTGAGACCTGAGGTACCTTTTGCCAGAAAACCTACAGTATAACAAAGGTTGCCCCTCTCTGGACATCTCCAACAAATCTATCACCGAAAAGCCTCGAGAAAAGCCTCTGTGCATCTGACTTTCCAACAAGGACCTCCCCATTCGGCGTCAAAACAGAAACCGACTGGTCACCGGCGTCGGTCCCGCCCTGATGGCCCCATCAGGCCCTCCTCCATGGGGCCATAGACATAAGCCACAGCCTCCGGTGTCGTTTCGAGTGGACCAGACAAGGAGGATGTCTAAGTAAGGCCAGGAGCTACGTTCGTAGCGTCCTTGCTGCTAGTAGTAGTACGGCCAGGAGCCCCTAGTAGCTTCTTGTTCCTAGTATATAGTAAGGCCACGAGCCCCTAGTAGCGTCTAAAACAGCAAAACTCGTGTTGACTCCACGCTTGCCCCTCTTAGGCCCTCTTGGGATGCCAAGAACTTCAGAAAGCTAGTAGCTACTGCACGAGCTACTGCTACAATAGCTACTGCTAGTAGCACGAACATGCGGGGTGCAATCAACAACGAACGACTCTACAACTCTCTTCCCACTCTCTTGCCCTGTCACATATAGAACAGAGTTCCGGGAGATCCATATTATCAATCATGCATCAGGAATGCACGACCCTGATTTAGTATATGTTGCTTCTTTCTTGCGAACCCTTACAGTATACCAAAAACCGGCGCCTAGGCTGACCCTTTCTTATCTTTCTTGAGAAACTTCCACATATGCCCTGTTCGCTCCTGACTTCCCTTCGACCCGCGCTGCCTTGGTACTACCCAGCTCGAAAACAGCGTAGCCATCCGCCTCGCGGCCACAGCCTCGCGATGTGGCAGGGCACACCACTCTGGGCAACGGTGCAAAGCTTTGGAAGACTAGCATAGGAACAAGAAGCTACTAGTAACAAAGGGAGCATTACTACTTGCAGCTAGAAGCTAAGCTAGTAGCTCCTGGCATTACTACTAGGAACAAGAAGCTAGTAGCATATTGTGACATAGGTCCTTTGGATGAGCTCACGCGATCGAATCGTGGTGCCTGGGCCAACACTGTTCGACCTTTCCCCCCCGAGAAGATTGGTCAACACGGAATCGAACTAGTAACAAGTGCCACGCTAGTAGTAACAGGTGCCTTACTAGTAGTAACAATGTTTGCTATTAGAAACAATAAGCTACTAGTAAACGATTCCATAGGGAATCGCCCAGTTCTCGGGGTCTCTTTGATCCTTGGGAGTTCAGCTGCTCGAACAACGACTACCCACCCGCCTCCCACACAGCACTGGATCCCCCGGGGCTCGTTCACCCGGCGGCCATCAAAGCGAAAGCCTGGCATGCTCACTATGGAGCCAGCGTCGTACCGAGGTCGGGATTGGACTGGGTAAAGAGCCCTCTGAGATCCTGAAGACACTACTCCTTTATGGGTCTAGGACATGATTTTCAAGGAAGAAAGGCTGCAAAACCTCGATGCCATAGTGTTGCTTCGGATATGGTAGGCCCAGGACAGGACTACATGATAGACCTAATAGACCTACATGTATGTCTGCAAGAAGTCAGTGCCAGTTGTATTGGTCGCTCTTTGGTTCTTTAGTCACCAGAATCCTTGCAAGAATTCATATGATATTCTGAAATGCCAATCTGACAAGGCTCGCTGCAATCAACGTCTTCACCTTCAAGCCAGCACAAACCCACCGGAGCACTGAAATCTCCGAAGCACCTTCTGGTGTGATGACTTCCATCGCCATTGCGGCAAGCAGCAAGCAGAAGCTCTGTCCTCTTGTTGTCGTAGTTTGGTTGACGCTCAAAGGGTTCGTGCAGGACACTTGACGATGAACGCTCGAATGAACAGGGCTTTGAAGAACTCACCAGCTGGGGAGACATCGCTCAAAGTGGGTTGGCAGAGTCGGGATCAGATTAGGCAGGTCTTAAGGATTTTTATCTTAGACCTCATTTTTTGTGTAGTTTTTGAAGACCTGTTGTCCTCTTTGTTTCTTTGTGGGTCCAGGTCTCCAGGTCTCGGGACTTCTCGGTCTCAGGTCTCAGGTGTGGAGAGGTGACCCGTCGTACGTTTGGCTCCCTGGCTTGGACGTGATCTGTTTGCTGCGGATCTGCTTGTTTCGAACGAAGGGGATGGAGCTCTTCACATGACGTAGCTCAACTTCTGACCAAACTGTAGACTGTTGAACCGAGATGACAGCAAACATGCTTCATGCTTCAGCCTGTCTACCCTGCCACGGTGTGAATTGAATCCTTCCCCGATTTGACATTAAATGATGTACAGTAATTTATTGGCCATGGAGACCTTTGACCTCTGAAACTTGTGGCCGAAGTAAGCACGTCTGGGGTGACATTGAGCAACCATTACAGGGTCACCCCGGATTTCACGCCAGCATGATACACCCCTTTGCCCTTTGACCCACGTCTCACCTCAAGCATCGAACCAGAGTCACCAAACCAGGTGGGCTTCCCCAACCCAAATGCAGCAATCTTGCCCTTCCCAATGGTTAATCATCCTAGGTGTTCTTCGACGCGCGTGACTCGAATCTCATGCGGGTCGAGGCCCTCTTGGGACCAATAACAGGTGAAAGAAGCCGACTGTGTCGCGCAATGATGCCGGCAGCAAGCTCTCAAATATCAAGCATGATCTACCAACGAACATCAAAGAAATGCACTTCTCTACCAGAGCTAGCCTGACCGATGGCAGAGTGGAATCATGTAGTAGTTTGAGTTTGAGGCTTGACTATTTATGGCTGATTTGGTGCGATAAACCCGGCTGATTCGTTAGACTTTGATCTGGCCCTTCGTCTGAAGAAGGCCTTTCTGCAGGATCACTCACACTCAATCGGAGTATGTATGCTCTGTTTGGGGGTGAGTTCGAAGTTCGGTGAAGGTTCTGCTGAAGTCGACTAGCTCCAGTTTCTTGCCTACAACTCCTCTGGTGGAGTGACAACCTAAACGGAAAAGGAGAACCAGTCAAGACCAAAACAGGTGCCCAGTTGGATGCCCAGGGTACTCAGAGTGGATCCAAGGGTCCAAGACCCAACGATTTGAGAGCTGCGCACTCGCTCTCCGCCAACGACCGGACACGACTGGCAACTTGGCAGCGCCCCGGTCGAAAGCCGCAGCCAGGCGCGGGCGCAGCGGAGAGGTCACGAAAGACGGGATAGGCACAGAAGAGGCCCAATCGAAAGAGATGGGAAGTGGGATTGACGGTGGCACTCCATGCGAGCTATTGGCCAACACCTTCCCAAAGTCCTGTTCCATAGATAGTCACGCTATATTTCATCTTGCATTCCAAAGATGTCTCTATAAGCTACGCAAAACAACTTCAAAAGGTTAAGCAGCCACTAGCCTTCTTCGGGGATCTGTCAAGTGGCTGGTGAACGTCTTCAAATTAAAAACCCAAAGAATGGTTCACGGAAGAAATGGGAACCTCCACCCACCATGGTGGGAGTCTCTTTGACCCCCAAACCCTTTGTCTGACTTTTTGGAGCTCCTGGTGGCGCCTTGGACAAACAAGATGTCTGGCTGAACACCTCCACATGAATCCACTAATCGACCTCCTCTTCCACAGATTCCGTTCGCAAGACTTGGAAATGCTGTTCCTTTAAGAACTACCTGGACTCCTTATCCACTGCAAAATTCAAGTATATACTCTCGAAAGCCTCAGCCCACCCACAGGTTGCTGTCGCCCTTCTCTCGCAACTTCTTCCAGAAGCCATGCGTCTCCTCAATCACCTCCGAGAAGTGTCGAACTGTGGGACCCTCATTGGTCATCCCATGAACAAGTTTCAGGCCCTCAACCCTGGCAGAGGATCTATTGGTCTATGGCTTTGGTTCCTGGAGCAAACCAACCAAGCAAACGCCTTTACAGCCGCTCAGGGTATTGTTTGGTCTACTTCAATACCAAGCTCTTGATCAATCATTATACACACGCGCACGTGCGTGCGCTCACATACAGACCTGATACACGCGCACACACCCTATCCTCAGTCAGTGTCCATGCGTCTTAGGAGTGGTGAGGTCCCCGATACTTTGTTTGGCTTCGCTCCTGCCTTGATGGCCTCTGGAGCATCCAGCGGCTGCTCGCCGAATCCGAAGCTGTTGAGCGGCTTCCCATCGGGCAACTTGTACCTCTCTCTTGGTGTGCAGGGCTCTCTGGTGGAACCAAATAAGAGTGAAACGTCTAGCCCCAACCAAGTACTACAAAGCCTTTGTAACAAATGACGAAACGTTCTAGTTGGGCTCAAGTCGGCAGGAGAATGGTCTCAATTCTGACAATGGAAAGGGTCCTTGTCATTGTGAATCTGTGGCGAAGCACAAGGTCTTGTACTGCATTGTTTCAGTCTGGTTTCAATTCCCACGTGTTCATCCCAATTGACTGTATACCATGCTAATAATGATTGATGGTTCGTATAGTGAACTTTTGGGCAGAAAACACTATGTAGATGCAAAGAGCTGTTCAAACTGCTCCTTTGCAAACACCACCAAAACAAACATATCACACCGTTTTCGTGCAATTCACACTCAGAATAAGTTGGTATCAAGTCAAAATGTTCAAGCATCTCTCATGCCGTGGACAGTCCAAGGTTGGATAAGTTGTGCCTAACCTGCCACAGACTCCTGTTAACCATAGTAGGAGCTCAGGCTCCAGAAAGCAACAGAACCGTGACCTGTACCAACCAAGCACTAACAAGGTCACGACGGCATCAGCGACGGTGGAGCTTTTGATGTGTTGGTCAAAGTTGGTTACGAAACCACGCGTTTAGAGCGTTTTGTTTGGAGAGGCTGGAAAAAAAACAGGCGTATTTTACGGAGGTTTGGGTGATGATTTCTTCCGTGCGGTGAACGATGAGTCCCCTTCCACCAACGAAGTTCGTGCTGAATTGCCCTACAAGCACCCAATGAGATTCATCGAGCTTGCAAAGTCAATTCACGATACTTTGTGGAAACAGTGAGTGTTTTAGTTAAGCCGAGATTCATATGTCAAACGGCTGAAAGCGCATGGAAGCAAATGCATATGTCACCATCAAGCTAGGGGAACCTAGTGGATTGTTGTGGGTGTCCCAAAAAATCAAGTCCTAGTCCTAATCTATATAACCCCCACCCCTCCAACCCGCAAATAACGAACGCCACCATTTGGCCCCCACCCGCGGCATTCACAACCCGAAACAACTTCGACACGACATAATGTTGTTGGCACTCACAAACTTTACCACTTGGCCCATCCACCCACGCACCCACCATTCACAACCCGAAGCAAACAACATTAGGTTGACGGCACTCACAAGAAACATCGCCACTTGGCTCCACCCCTTCACAACATGCGTGGGCACTCTCAAGCCCAGTCCCGGGCCAGCACGTGTATATGGGCAGGTTAAAAGTATGCCAGTTCCTGGCCACACTGGCCAAGTTTCACAATATTTCAAGGATGTAAAAACACTTGTAACCTTCATGGAAAAATGATGGGCAGGCACAAGCTCCAGAATCTAATACTTGCTTATTAAGTGCGTAACCCAGCAGCATGAGTGTAGAATGAGAAGCTGTGGAGGTGAAAGAGTTTTAGTGTTTGCCCCAAGTGCGGCACCGCGTTTTCTTGTATGATGGCAGTGTGGAAAGCAGTTGTTATGAGTTGACAAGCAGGCAAGGCTTTGTAGACTTATGTAGGTCCAGCTCACGCCTTAGGAGTCTCCAATGCAGTCATAGCATAATTTCTTGAGAACTAACCAGCTTGCGAGCTATTAACAACATCATACAACATCTATACTTCCGGCAGCACCCACAACAAATGTCACCACTTGGCCCAGCACCCTACTCACCCACCAGCAACTTCCCCGAAGCAACATTGTGTCGTTGTCACCGACAACAAACGTCACCACCAGGCATGATGCAGCAATATCGAATCTATCGGATGAAGAGTAAAAACAGTGAAAACCATGCTAAAAGTTCACAGTCGATAACGCGCCGTGAGCACAAACAACATTGCACAATACAACTTTACATATCTTTACATCTACCACTCCCAACCAAACCCCTCCTATCATCCGGATTTCTCACCGCACGAACACCGAACAACGCAACGACTGGGTGTCCCGCACCAACGGAACCACTCGCGGATCCCGGAGATATACCCCGGTAGCTTGGTTTCCACATCCTTCAAGGAAGACCTGGGCGGGCAGTCCTCGTTTTTGAAGTTCTTAAGCCGGTTCAAGCTGATTCGGTGAACTAGATCGCCCTCAAAGAACTAACTGTTGTTGCGGGAATGGTTCATGGCAGGGGTCTTGAGAAGAACATTTGATCAGTAGGCTGTCCGGTCGGCTCAGCATGTCAGGTCCTGTAGACCCGGGGGAAAGAAACTCACAGAAATATGGACCCCGACCTTCCGCTTGGGCCTCCTGGAACCATTGCTCTTGCCATGCTGCCGAGCTGCAGCTCGGCGGCCATGGGGTCATCGGTCGCGATGGCTAGGATCTTCCAGTCCTGCGAGGATGCCCCCTCAGTGCTGAGGACTCATCCTATTCAACATAGTTGTGCTATGTTGTGATCTCGCGCAGCACCTGGTGGGCCATTGGCAGACAGAACTTTTTGATTGGTTCTTGCAGTTCTGAAGGCAGGAGGCAAGAGCCCTCATCTATCAGTCGATTGCCCGCCTCTACAATATATACAATATATAGTATATATAATATAGTATAGTATCATATAATATATTGTAATAACATATAACATCATATAATGTAAAATAACACAATATAATAGAATACAATAATATATATATATATATATTACAGATGTCCTTTCCCTTACTTACAACCTCCACCGTATTCCACCCACTGCCCCGACCAGCTCGCCATCATCGATCATGGCCAGGGCCCCGAGCACCTGTAGCATGACCCACTTGCAGACTCCAGGGCTTGTAGACTCCAGGCATTTCAAGCAACAGTTAGCAAGGGAAATCATGCCCAGGCAAGAAGCCCAACCCCTTGCTTCCGAAGATACGGCCAGGCCCCCAACAAGTTGGTACACCTAAGTAAACCTTCAAACCTTCTGCTTCCGCTTTGTTAGACCCAAATGGAGGACGAAAACCGGTGACCGAAAGACGAGCCGATTTCATTGGAGGAGACCACAGACGTGGTGGAAGGTGTTCCGTCCAGCAGGGCCCGAAGGCTCTGCTTCCCGCCTTCACCTTGACAATCTCACCTTGCTCATGCGCTCGAGAGCCGATCTCCACCTAAAAGGCGATGATAGGGTAATTATTAATGCATTTGTATGAAAAATAGAGGTTATCTGTATAGATACAAACCCACATTCAGAGCATCAAAGTCTATATCATCCGTCTGCAAGCAGCTTCAGCCAGTTCTGCAAATGCTTGGACAAAAGCATGGATCGCCTTGATTCTCAAACAAGGATTCCCTTGATGCAAAAAAGTTCTTTGGATCCGCTGAAACGATGATTCCGCTTGATGAGCTGATCTGCTCAGCCAAGCCACCACATCTACCGGATCATTGTCACCCTTGACCTTGAGCTCAGGATGTTCTGCTTGGGGATCCTGGAGATCTGCAGCTCGTCGCTCTCAACGACTGATTCACCTATTCCACTGCTGAGCCTAAGGCCTAAGCTGTTTCAAACCAAGTTCTCCGTGCTCTGTTCATCTACTTGTCAGAGTGAGGTAAGCTGTAGACAGAAAGACCCAAAGTAGTAAAGTTAGTTAGCAGGTCATCGGACGGCCCACCCAGCTCATGCTTGAAGCAACAGAATTGGCGTGACTTCCAGCCGTCAAAGCCCTGAAGAAATATATAATGGTTGAAGTGCAAAACAACTTCAGATTCTCTGACAGCACCAGAATGATCTGATCCAGAGAAGTCGGCGGACGCCGGCCCTCGCCTCCCAGGTCTGGGGTAGGTAGCCATAGTTCCAATAGATGGGGCCTGGACGGAAGTTTAGTATACAGGTCAAACATGCCCAGCCACTGGAAAATTAGCAGCACTTCGTTCATCTTCAACAGTCTCTTTTAGCATGGGAATTGTCGTTCAACAAAACACGCTGCACAAAAAGGTCCCCCTTTCAACAACATATGTTTCATCTGGACCTTTCAATTCCGGAGCGGCCGCTCTTCCTGGCAGGATTGGAAGCTGAGGATCGACGTTCAGCTTGCCAATCGACTTCTCCCGTTGATTGGGTCCTTTTGCCCCAAAAAAAGGGCGATCCAGGACGTTCAGCCCCGTCCACACACCGAAACCCTCCGGTTCTCTGCAAGCGGAGGGCACGCTTGAGCTCCATGCATGTTCGTATGACACACTCCTTGGTGGACTTCGACTTCCATGACCACTACAAACACTCCGACAGCATGGGTATCAGCGTGGTATCGCGTGCAGTTCAGCACCTTCGCCCAGCGTCAGGTTCATCCAAAAAAACTGCCAGTTCTGCTTGCCAAAAACGGCCCACTTAGAGTTGTCATGTGTCCCAGACGTTCAACAAGGCAACTACTGTGGATCTTGTTCATTTAATGTCAGAATAGGTCAAAGACGGCGTGCCCCGGATTCCTGCGCGGAGCTGGAACATCCCAGGAGAGGATTCACTGGATTCTGCATGCAGTTCTGACAATCCTGTTGACCTTCGACGACATCTCGAAGGCGGACGCCCCGCGCCGTGATACTCTCGTAGCTTTCCTTTCCTGGGGCGCGAGCTGCGTGGTTGAGCGCCCGCCCGGCTACTGTTTAATAAGTTGAGACGGCAACTCTGCTTGGCGCTACAAGGAGCCATGCATTGTTTTGTGGAAGAGAATGCCCCTGGTTGCTCCTCAGAAAACGAAAATGGAAATAATCTGGGCGGAGTCTTTGTGCGCATGAAGCAGAGATCGGTCACATATTTTGTTCTGGTCACCCTGGTCCTAGAAAAAGCAGAACTGCCAAGCCTTTCTGTGCCTGCATTCACATCAGCCCCTTTCCATCCTTGCCGAGCATCTTGGTGTCTTGAGCAATGGGGTTCATGGATTCCTGCATGCACAACAAAACACAAAGCTCCCCTTTTTCAAGAGTGTCTCACAACCAATCTCTATTACCTGCTGGCCAGTAAGCAAAGAATCGAGCATCTTCCTCACCCCTTCCAAGCAAGGTGGGGAGTCCTGAGTGACAACTCCTTCCACTTCAATCACATGATCTGACCCTAATCCCTCAATCCAACTCACAGACCTTGGTGGCAATCTCCATCTTGGGCTTTGTGTTCTTTGGGATCTCAGTAACCATGAAGTACTCGCCCTCGACCTGTGTTCGGGCATCGGGCTGGCCATCTGCAAGAAGAGGGCATCTTCATTGAGCCGGTTCTCATCTATCTGCAGCTCTTCAACAGGATTCCAAACCAACCCGCAGCGCTATCAACATGTTTGTCTGGCGCTACCTGAACGTTGATGCCTTTCCCACAAATCAAACGAGAAAAAGGTGCTAAATCGATCGAAAAATCAAATCAGTTCGAGTAGAACCCGAACTTGCTCTAGAAACCGTTCAAGTCTTCCAGTTCTTTGCGCCTCCATCGAGACACCCACGCTTTGGAATGTTTGACTCGTGGCCTCGGAGCTCAAGGGCAAGTCATGCCATGGAGAGATCTCCTGGTCCTTGGCGAAGAAGTAGCGACGATAGCTTTCGCTCCCTTCCTCAGAGCTGAGAGCGGTGTGGTTCTTTCGTAATGATCGCCTGGTGCAATTCACCTAATACACACATTTGCCTCTTGACTATTCTGAAGCTCGACAATTGCAACTGCCTCCGCACCGGGCACCGCAGGGGCACCACCGGGGCACCGCGCCTTGCCCCGGACCTCCGTGGTGACCTCCGAGACGGCTACGCTACACAGCGGCAGCCCACGCCTGAGGGTGCGTGTCGCCCAGCATCCACGCCGCACGCTCCGTGGGATTTCACATCTTCCAGGGAGGGAAGGAGTGTGAAATGTCTTCTTCCGAAAAGTACTAGTACTGGCAGTTGCCAAAGCAATGGCTTACAGATCCTGAGTCATCTTCTTCTCCGACCTGCTTGCAGTGGCTATGTCCAGAAGGAGAAAGCCCCGTCAAACCTCATGCCGCCTTTCAAGTTTCACCAGCAGAATCCAGTGTAATCTGCACTGGGATTTGTGCCGATCTTGAATTAACATAACAGTTGAAACCCCTTTGCACTGTGCCTTCAAAATTTCACAATTCCCCCTCTATTTCGTCCCGACATATTCTGAACATCACTATGTTTCTGAAGTTTGGGGCAAAAATGTATAATTAATTTGTTTCCTGGTTTACCCCAGGAATCCCTCTGTGAGCCACTTGCAGCTTCGCCCTGTTCTGGCGGTCGTTTCGTTGTGTCGTTTCCGAAGGTCTTCCCACCTTGAAGGCAATCGCCCAATGCCAGCGAAGCACCTTCGAGTGATCACAGATCACAGATCGATCCTCCAATCTAATAGCGATGGCCTCCACCCTAGTAGCGATGGCCTCCACCCCACCCCCTTTTTGTGGGGGCATCAACCAACAGCTTTGACCTTTTGGGTGTGTTTCCATCGAGAAACGACTCAGACCTGTTAGCATGATGGCTGGGATGCGTCTTGCAGCTTTGAGATTCTCACCACGAGCTCAGCTGCCCAAGGAGGATCGCAAAAAGCCCCAAGGGCAGCATGGCGAGCGAACGTCGCTCCATTGCCATGGGGAGCGTGGGAAAAATGCGGCCTGGCTTCGCCAAATGCCAGAGAAATTCATCGTGTCATACTCACAGCATCCCTGGCTGGTCCCAACTGATCAAATCCGTCTGCCAAATGTCCTACATGGCTCCATGACCTGAAAAAGTGAGTTTGGCGAGGTGCATCCCATGCAACACTGATCGAGATCAAATGCATGGGGCTGGCCGTGACCCTCAGTCTCTGGTCGACTGCCGATCTTGCACAATAAGCGACTGCAGGGGGCTTGAGCAAATCACCAGAGGCACTGAGTGGAGAGTGTGGGACGAAATTCGAGGTGCTTGAGACATATGGACCAAACAAATTGCAAAACCAAACCAGTTCTACAACTTGATTCTTCAAATCCGTGAATATGTTCCAAAATGTTCCAAAACACTGGCACCTTTGAACCCTGTCCTCACTACCTCACCACCCTTACAATCAATCTCAAGCATGGGTTTGAAGGTGGCTGTCTCCAAACATTTCAAGAGTGAAAGTGACCAGGTCAAGAAGCCGTTCATCCCCATCCACAGAATTCAGCACGCTACTTGCCAAGCTGAGCATATTGCTTTGAGCTCCCAAACCAACCAGTAGACAAGCCGTGGTGACCGATCTTTCGCACAGCAGAAGCCAGATCTTGGCGGCGGCATCTCCAAGCTCTGAACCCGCACCAAACGTGAGGCAACTGAGCATTGAACTAGGAGCGATCGGACGCTAGTAGTAGCTCCTGGCCTTACTACTAGTAACAAGAAGCTACTAGTAGCAAAGGGCCTTTCTACTAGGAGCAAGGACGCTACTAAGCCGTGGAGATTAGTCGTGGGTTGCTTTGTGGCTTCATCCGTCCGGACTGCTTCCCCTTCTAAAGCTAAGTTTTGTCTCAGGCAGACTTGGCATGGTCTTTTCCTTAAATTTATGGAACTCTCTCAAATCACCACCTTTAGATGAAGATGCCTGGTTGCAGCCGACAGGTATGGGAGACATGTCCGATGTTTACAACCAGGGATCCATATCTTTGCATTCGTGCACAAACTCATCAATTGCTGATATATACATGTTTGAAAGAATCAGAATGAGGGTCTCTTAGGCTATGGAGGCCCTAAACATGAGATATTCTTGCTGCTTGAACTTGCATGAGGTCATTCATCAAATCAACACACTATCCACCTAATGCATCAGAGCATGGACTGCTTTAGCGAATTCCTAGCCCCAATGGGCCGAGGGAAGATCTCCAAGACAGAAACAAAGACAGCGGATTTGAGGTAACCAGCCACCCAGGATTTCAAGCTGTGCTACCAAGGGTCAACCGTCTGAAACGACTTGAGCACTGCTACAGCCCGACCAATGGGTTTTGGTAATATTCCTTCTTCCCGGGGACCTGGGAAGTGTCCCAATAACTATATAAGCAAAAATAAATAACATATGATTAAACATGCAATATGACGCAAGAAGCTAAAACTGTGGTGCAGGTCCAGATTTTGAGCCACCAGAAAAGAGAACTCTGGGAGATTTGGCCGAACTTGCACGACAAGCTACTAGGAACAACAAGCTACTAGGAACAAGTGCATCGCTTCTAGTAACAAGTGCCTTACTAGTAGTAACAAGGTTCGCTATTAGAAACAAATTAGAATTAAACTAAATTGATTTCACGGTTTCATGTTTCACATCCTGGATGGCTCTCGACCGCAGTCAAGCTGCACACCGCTGTTCCTGCTTGGACATAAATGCCTTCCCCACTAGAATGGAGGTGACACGACGGAGGATACCGAACAAAGAAGGAGACGCAGTCCAAGGCACGAACGCAGCGCCTGGCAAGTGCCTAAACGAATGGATTTGTGCGACCAGCTTCGATTTCTAAACCTGTTTTGGAGCAGTCAAACTGAACCCTCCCATCCTGCACTTCCAGAGAAAATGTCAGCCAGACAAGCACTCTCGAGTTCAATTTCAGGATGTTTGAGGTATGTAGCCAGGCCGTTTCACGCGGAATCTCTGATGATTAAAGTTTGTATGGCGTGTGTGGGCTCAAATACAGGTTCAAAAGGAATGTTAAATGCAACACTGGCCAATACCCACTGGCAGTAAGCAAAGCAACAAAGAAACCAGCAGGCTAATCAATCACGGTTGACTCAGATGATATCTTCAAAGGGTTTTGCTACCTGGCTGTACCAATTTGGCTGAGTGTGCTCATCTTTTTGGGCCAACCTTTGCTTCTTCCTCTTGCTCCTCAGCTTTCTCTCGCTGGGGAAGTGGCAGAAACGGAAAGGGCAGAAGCCCTTGCTTCTGCCGCCTTTGGCGGCAAATCCCATCATCCTGCAGCTGTTGGACAACAGGTTCCCAAGACAGTCCGCTGAACATCGATTGGGGCAAAACAGGTAGAAGATGGTAGAAGGTAGCCCTGTGGTTGATTTTGCGAAAGGCAAAGAAACTCAGGGCCGGACCCAGAAACAAGCACGCAATACAAGGACTGACCAATGGCTGTTTTTCCTACTTCCTTCCAGTGAGGATAAAATTGAAAGCAAAACCGTGACTCCGTGCCGTGCAGTCCTCCACTTCCCGGATCAACAGGTCGTTTTCGAACTCTGAGACGGTGCCACGGTCACCGTGGAAGTCATAGACCCGGCCGCCCCGCAACCAGAACATGGGTGGCTCATCTAGTTGGCTGGGTCGCTCTTTGACCTTCCAGGCTTCCTGGGTCACCATGACCACGTTCACCACGCTGCTCTTCAACCGAGTGGCGTGCTTGGCCTAGACAGCCGTGTGGCTCGGGGACCGTTTTGGGCTAGTCCAAATAGAAAAGTCTACCCAAGGCTACTAGGAACAAAGGGCATCGCTACTAGGAGCAAGGACGCTACTAGTAGGTCGTGGCCTTACTACCAGTAACAAGAAGCTACTAGTACCCAAGGCTCCCTGGCAACACAGGGCAGTCACATATGATTCCAGAATCCAAACAATATCTAGTCGCATGAGTTGCACATGTTCACTCGAAAACACAAACTGATCGGTCACAGCCAACTCTTGGCTGCAAGGTAACTGTGGGTTCCGGAAACAGCTTTGGGAGGTTGCACTGAAAATAAGCAGGGCTCAGCTCATTTCTCATCCATTTCAAAACAGCATGAAAGAATTCAACCTGGAACACTGGCTCCTCCTACCATAGGCATGTTATCAACTTTGGATGGTGATTTTGTCAGGATGTCGTGTTGACTCAGTATGCACTTTGTTGCACTGAAATGGTGAAAAAAACAAACTGATAGTCACGGCAAAGTGGTTTTGTTGTGTCGAAAACTTAATGTCAAAATGTTAATCAAAACCTCCTAAAACAATGTCTGCAAAACGATCAAAATCAAAATGAATGTATAAGAAAGTTAAAAAATAGAAGGAAATCTAGAGGACATCACTTGGGTACCTCAGGATAGGTATATACTATCTGAAAGGTTCCTGGATTGGGCGGGGGGTGGGGGGACTTTCAATCAACAGTCAACATTAGTCAACCACCAACCAAAAATGAAAATTGCAAAACATGTCACCGTCACATGAACCCTCGTCCAAACAAAGGGCACGAATCGCAGGGCGACGCGATTCGCCGACGCTGTGTGCAGCTTCCATGCACCTCGCCAAGTCCGTAGAAGTCTGCCAAGGCCTTCGCCATCCTTCGTAGCAATTCGGCCACGTCGCGATCTCTGTTGGAGCTCTCGTCCTCCTCGTCCTCAGAGCCACTCTCATCCCCGAGAAGCCGCTCACTCCTGGAGAAGGTAGAAAGAGCTGGACACAAAGGCATCGCCAGCTGCGGCTGCGACTGCTGCTGCTTGATTCTTTTGATGGTTCTTCACTAGTTCTCCTACCTTATATACTGGTGAAAGCTGAGACCGAATTCTGTGATGGCCGCGCTCAAAGAATTTTCTGAGAGGTGCCCCTGTCTTCAGACCATTGCCAAGTTTCAAGTACACCATGCCGTTGATACAATGTTTTAGGAGCCTTTCCCACCAAGCGCACTCCTTGCACTCACGAATGCCAGGTCCGAGGAGACACTTGGCCAAGCACCAAAGGCATCTTCGTCCAAACCTGGAAAAGGCAACAAGCTGGATATTGACTTCATAGGCGATCTGCAGTGTCGGTTCCCAACACTGGTGACCCAAAACCTTCTTTTTCCCTTGCTACCAGCACCAGTCAGCTTTGCGATAGCTGGAATTTGGGGTGATGATTCACCCGTTTGGCTCCCTTGAGCAGTTTTTAGCGACCGATTCCCGGAGGACTCTTCAGGATCACCCCAAAAGCCCATCGAAGGATGCCGCCCAGGATGCATTAGTAACAATGTTCGCTACTAGGGGCTCCTGGCATCGCTACTAGGAGCGATCGGACGCTATTAGGGGCTCCTGGCCGTACTACTAGTCAGGATTGAGTGGTCCAGTGAGCCCCCTGATTCCTCTCCATCGTCCGTCGCGAGCCTTCGACCGTCTGTCGCGAGGTCGACAGCCCCCGCCGCCAGCGCGCATGGCGTGGGACCGCCCGGTCCGGGGCTGAGCGGGTCTCAGGGCTGCGGGCATAGCGGTAACCTCAGCGGGTCCATGTTGACTGGCGACCGACTGACGAGGCAATGAAATCAAGGTATGTTCTGCCAACAGGATTTTTCAGTCCCATCTGCAGGTGCAAACTGTGTCCAAACTGCCCCCAAAAGACCACCAAAAGCCGTAAGACAGAAATTTCGTAAATTGAAGCAAAATCTTCTCAAAAAAGATCAAGAACGTCTCACATCAAAGACCTCCCCACTCGAATCCGCAGAAGCATCATCTTCGCTGCAGGACCATTCCTCCTGCCACTTCCAAAGACTGAATTGGAAGCGTTGAGTGTTTCGAGTCCTTTGAAACCGTCCATCTGCCTATCATGATCATGTGGGAAGGGTCCAATATAAGTGAAAAACAAACTGGACTCTTATTGGCTCTTGGCTTCTGCAACTCAACAAACATCACTTTGTGTGGCACTCTGTCCTCAAAGGTAGACGTCTCCGCAACTGGAGATGGCACGGACATTGCGGCCTGCCCACTCACCTGCAATCGAAGCGGCGGTTTCAGCTTAGTC